CTAACACACACACACACACACTAACACACACACGCTAACACACACACACAGTAATTATATAATCAAGCTTCTACTCTGCGACTGACTTAATTATAATAATGATAATAATAATAATGATAATAATTATGATGATGATGATGATGGTTGATGGTTGATAATGATAGTGTCAGCTGTGAATTGAGTTCCCCGTTGGCCAGCCAGGCGTTATACAGGTCAGACTCTAATGCTATAAGACAAAGTTTTTTTTTTTTTTTTTTACGTCAACAAGTAATGATGAAAAGTTCAGGTTTCTAGTACATGTGGGTAGAGAACTTTGTCTCCTCCGCCTGGCGATGGTTAAAGGTCGGGTTTCTAACACTGGTGAAGAAGGCTTTTCCTTCGCCTGGCGTTACACAGAGGTCACATAGCCTTAACCCCTTCTCCCCATCCCCTCCCCTCACCCCTTCCCTCCCCACCACCACCAGATACTTGATGTATTTATCTGAGACATGATTGTGTTCACTCTCTAGTGTGTGTGTGTGTGTGTGTGTGTGTGTGTGTGTGTGTGTGTATGCACGTATTTACATAAAGAATCTGATATGTGTACTTATTATGGGAATGTCCTTGTTAACAATGTATTCTCTGTCCTTGTTATTGAGGGCTGTTATTGTATTGTTCTTAACGACTGTTTTTGCGTGGCTTCCTTTTTTGTTGTTGTTATTGGGCAATGTTCTTGTTCTTGAGGTTCTTTTGTGTTATCCACGTTATTTGTTCTATGGTTTTGTTTTTCATGTTCTTTCTGTGTTTTTGTGTGTGTGTTCTCTGGTTCCCCTGTTCTCCTCTTCGTTGTTCTCCATGGCAATGTTCTTGTTCTGTGGGTGTTTTTGCGTGATGTCCTTGTCGGCCTGGCGAGTATATGTGTGTGTGTGTGTGTGACCTTGCTCCATAACGTGCCAGCCAGCTTTCTTTATCAAACACACACTCACACCCCCCCTCCCCCTCCTCATAATTTCGTACTCATGAATATCCATCTGTTTTCTCATGAGGTGTGAGGGATTGACTCATTGAGGAGGTGTAGCGAGAGGGATTGACTCATTGGAATGCATGAGTGGTGAGGAATCGAAACTCATATTATACTCATGTGTCTTCCCTCTTTCCTCAGCTTTACTCATGAATTTTACTCACTGGAGACGATGAGTGGTGAGGTTTGAGAGATGAGGAAGGTTTTATGGTGACAGGATATGAATTAGGGCGTGAAGATTGACTCACGTGAGGACATGAGGTGTGAGGAATGACTCAGAACGTGCATGAGTCAGTGAATAGGGATCGTGAGTCTGAGTCAGTGATGAATAAGACGTGAAGAACGTGAGTGAGTGAGTGGGTGGGTGAGTGAGGTTTTGGAGTAATACAGAAGAGCTGCCGAAGCCCCTGGATCCTGTAGGAGGGAGTCTTACAGGTGGTCATAGGAGGTCTTGATGTGGTATAGGACCTCCCTCGGCTGGGGGGTCTCTAGGACTCTCCAAGGCATGAAGGACGTCTTGATCCTGAAGAAATGGAGATAAATAGAGGAGGTCCTAGTGGAAGGTCCTGGTGTACCATTTTTGGGGGTGTTATGGAGGGCGTCTTGAGCCTGACGAAGGGGTAAAGGGGACAGTATCTCTCGTGCTTAAGACTGTTTATCTCTCATCTCACTCTTGGAGGAATGGGTGGGATGAGAGACAGTATCTCCCTCTTGATTAAAGGGGGGAGGGGTGAGGTGAGAGACAGTATATCTCTTCTATTTAAAGAATATGACTCCTGTCTCACTCCTGAAGGAGGATGGTGAGGCTGAGAGACAGTATCTCCCTGCTGCATAAGACTGTATCTCCTGCTCCCTTGCCTCTGCTCAAGGGTTGCACAATTCCCTGATATGGTCAAGGGCTTGTCGCCGCCTGCCCTTAACCTACTAAACTTCACCCACATCTTTGCCCCACTGCCCCCCACCAGCCCCCACTGGCCTTTTCTTTTCGATTTGGAGGTCTTCCTCAGGGTTCTCCTTCTTGAGATTTACATGGTTGTAAAGTGCTTGAGACGGGCTGTCCTCACTGCCCCCTATTGTACATTTTAAGTCCCGTGTTGACTTAGAAGATTGACAAAAGAGATGCGGGTTGCCTAGTAGGGCCCCGACGACGAATTGGGGACAAGGTTAGTGTGTGTCGGAGCGGGGAGTCCCACTCGCTAGCAACACAACCGCTGACTTTCGCTCAAAACGGCTGGATTCAGGCGGGTGATCGCTGGACGAAGCTTGGAGGAACTTGACGCAGAGTTGCAGAAGACGTGACGGGGAGCGGCAACGCTGCACGACGGCGCACGGACAAACACACAAACACACTCACTATCACTTTCGCTTGTTGCGGCCGGCCTTTTAGTGGAGTGCGTTCGTACGTGTGTGCGAGGGGGTGTGAGTGTGTGTGTGGACGTGTGACGGCTCGGATCAGGCGTAACCTTCGCTCGGGGGAAGCAAACCGAGAGCCTGGCTCTGTGAAAGTACTCATTTGTAGTGCGTAGCTAGGAGGGGAACCCATGTTGGATCACCCGCTCCCTCACTCCCCCAACTTGCTCGCTCGCTCCCCCCTTTTGCCATCACACACCGTCACACCTGTTGCCTCTGTGTGTGTGTGTGTGTCTGTATGTGTGTGACGCAGCCGTGACGTGTACTGAGAGCCTCCGTGACGCCACACAGTTGTACACCGCCACACGTGCACACCCACCTTCCCCGTCAGTTGTGTCTCGACTCCCTTGGAGTGCTGTTGTGGTGTGCTGCTGCTGCTGCTGTTGTGAGCTGACTCCTCCCACGGCTCCTGCCTTCATCACTGTTCGGGATATTTTTAATACCAACCCCATCATGTTGTGCTGTGCTCGTTACTACACTGTGCTACACTCTGTGCTGACTCAGTGCTGAAGTGTACTATTACTACATTGTTAAACAGTGCTGCTACATCTGTGTTCAACATAAATATACACAAGTGGTCAAATAACATCACTCCACAGGCCTATTACGAAGAAAAAAAATTACTGTGCTATTCTGTGTTGTTGATAAAGTAGCTATATCAGTGCTGTACCTACAAGTGCTACTGTGTTATTGTTGTGTTATTACTCACTAGTGAACACACACACTGCTGGATAACACTTGTCTACCTCCACTCACCGTGTTCAGCTTCAACAGGTGAGTGACTTAGTGCTGCATGTTAACCTCGTGTGTGAACCCTAGGTGCCATGTGTCAACCCCAGGTGCCATATGTCATCCCCAGGTGCCATATGTCATCCCCAGGTGCCATGTGTCAACTCCAGGTACCATGTGTCAACCCTAGGTGCCATGTGTCAACCCCAGGTGCCATGTGCCAACCCCAGGTGCCATGTGTCAACCCCAGGTGCCATGTGTCAACCCCAGGTGCCATGTGTCAACCCCAGGTGCCATATTACATTTAGAAAAGTATTAAATAATGACAGGCGGCATAAGAATGTTAATGTGTGTGTGTGTGTGTGTGTGTGTGTGTGTGTGTGTGTGTGTGATCTACACACCCAAAGCCTCGCCACTGTCACACATCGATGTCGGCACCTCCGTTGTTTCGTCTGGCAAGCAGAGTGTGGTCATATGAGGGGAGGGCAGACGTTCTTGTTGTGAGGACAGACCCGTATGTGTGTGTGTGTGTGTGTTTGGTCTAGCTGAGTGTTATCAGTTAGATTGATACAGTGAGGTTCCGTGATTCTCCCCCCCTCATTCTCTTCCTCCCTCTCCCTCCTCTTCCTCTCCCCTCTTCTTCCCCTCACTAGGAGTCAATGTCCAAGGGTGTCGTTTGGTGATAGAACCGAGATGTTGACAACAGTGGTAATCTCTCTCTCTCTCTCTCTCTCTCTCTCTCTCTCTCTCTCTCTCTCTCTCTCTCTCTCTCTCTCTCTCTCTCTCTCTCTCTCTCTCTCTCTCTCTCTCTCAGTGCAAAAAATATATATTTATGGAAGTCAGACTACGTAACCTAACCTAACCTAACCTTCATTAGTTTAGCCCCGTGACCTCCGTGCGCGTTCGTGGTAATTTTCCGACATTGTACTATACTGCCAAATTCCTTCTAACCCCCCCCTACCTCCCTCCCTCACCTGTTCCTGTGTTAATTAAGATGGTAAATATTCCTGTCTGTCTGGTTAAAACACGGAAATAATGGCTTTAAAAATGGTGTCGTTTTTCACTGTGACTATATACCTATTTATTTAATTATGGGTTTCATTGTGGTTCGTTTATTCTTGTCTTCCATCTGTCTCCTCTCTTCTGCGTCTTTTCTCATTCGCCTCTTCTGTACTTCCCCTTCCCGCCTCTCTCTCTCTCTCTCTCTCCTTTCTATCCAACTCCTACCTCCTCCTCCTCCTTCCTACCTCCTCCTCCTCCTCCTCCTCCTCCTCCTCCTCCTCCTCCTCCTCCTCCTCCTCCTCCTCCTCCTCCTCCTCCTCCTCCTCCTCCTCCTCCTCCTCCTCCTCCTTCCCTACCTCCTCCTCCTCCTTCCTCCTCCTCCTCTCCTCCTCCTCCTCCTCCTCCTCCTCCTCCTCCTCCTCCTCCTCCTCCTCCTCCTCCTCCTCCCCTCCTCTTCCCCTACCTCCTCCTCCTTCCTCCTCCTTCCTACCTCCTCCTCCTCCTCCTCCTCCTCCCTACCTCCTCTTCCCTCCTCCTCCTCCTCCTCCTCCTTCCTCCTCCTCCTCCTCCCTCCTCCTCCTCCTCCTCCTCCTCTTCCTCCCCTCCTCCCTCCTCCCTCCCTCCTCCCTCCTCCCTCCTCCTCCTCCTCCTCCTCCTCCCCCTCCTCCCTCCCCTCCTCCCCTCCTCCTCCTCCTCCTCCTCCTTCCTCCTCCTCCTCCTCCTCCTCCTCCTCCTCCTCCCCCTACCTCCTCCTCCCTCCTCCTCCCTCCTCCTCCCTCCTTCCCTCCCTCCTCCTCCTCCTCCTCCTCCTCCTCCTCCTCCTCCTCCTCCTCCCTACCTCCTCCTCCTTCCCTTCCTCCTCCTCCTCCTCCTCCTCCTCCTCCTCCTCCTCCCTCCTCCCTCCCTCCTCCTCCTCCTCCTCCTCCTCTCCTCCTCCTCCTCCTCCTCCTCCTCCTCCTCCTCCTCCTCTCTCTCCTCTTCCTCCTCCTCCTCCTCCTCTTTCCCTACCTCCTTCCTACCCCTCCTCCTTCCCTACCTCCTCCTCTTCCCTCCTCCTCCTCCTCCTCCTCTTTCCCACCTCCTTCCCTACCCCCTCCTCCTTCCCTACCTCCTCCTCCTTCCCCTCCTCCTCTCCTCCTCTTCTCCTCCTCCTCCTCCTCCTCCTCCTCCTCCTCCTCCTTCCCTACCTCCTCCTCTTCCTACCTCCTCCTCCTCCTCCTCCTCCTCCTCCTCCTCCTCTCATTAACAGGTCACCTTGAGTCTTAAGTATTCCCCACTGTTGTTTTTCTTCTCCTATTGATGGTAAATAAACCGTAAAAAAAAGAACTATATACAGTAATGTTGAAGAAACCACCCAGCCCCAACCACCCACCACCCACCTAACCAGCCACCCAGCCACCCACCTAACCGCCCAGCCACCCAGCCACCCACCTAACCGCCCAGCCACCCACCTAACCAGCCACCCACCCCACCACAACTCCCCAGCCAGCCACACCCAACCGCCCAGCCACCCACCTAACCGCCCAGCCACCCACCAACCGCCCAGCCACCACACCCTGCCCAGCCACCCACCGCCACGACCGCCTAACTGCCTCAGCCGCCCAACCCCAGCCACCCCCTTCCCCCACCTAGCCCAGCCACCGCCCAGCCACCCAACTAACCGCCCAGCCACCCACCTAACTACCCAGCCACCCACCTGACTGCCCAGCCACCCACCTAACTACCCAGCCACCCACCTAACTGCTCAGCCACCCAGCCACCCACTAACTGCCCAGTCACCCATATGCCCAGCCACCTAACTGCCCAGCCACCCAGCCCAGCCACCCATCCGCTCCACCACCCAGCCACCTAACTGCCCAGCCACCCAACTGCCCCACCCACTGCCCACCACCAGCCACCTAACTGCCCAGCCACCCCCCAGCCCATCCGCTCCACCACCCAGCCACCTAACTGCCCAGCCACCCGCCCAGCCACCCCCTCTCACCACCCAGCCACCTAACTGCCCCCATCCACTCCACCACCCAGCCACCCCTGGCCACCCAACTGCCCAGCCACCCCCGCTCCACCACCCAGCCACCCAACTGCCCAGCCACCCATCCTCCACCACCCAGCCACCTAACTGCTCCCAGCCACCCGCTCCACCACCCAGCCACCCTCCGCTCCACCACCCAGCCACCCAGCCACCCATCCGCTCCACCACCCAGCCACCCAACTGCCCCACCCATCCGCTCCACCACCCAGCCACCCAACCCCACCTCCGCCCCACCACCCAGCCAACCCAGCCACCCATCCGCTCCACCACCCAGCCACCCATCCGCTCCACCACCCTGCCTCCCCGTCACCTCCTTTCTCTCCCTCACTCTTACCTTCCCTCATCCCCCTCTCCTCTTCCCTAGTTCCTCTCTCCTCCTCTTCTTTCTCCCAACCACCCAGCCGCCACCCAGCCGCCACCCAGCCACCCCTGCGAGAAAGTCCCCTCACCACTTTCGATTTCTGTACATAGAGTAGTTTAGGATCACATTAACGAGCCAATTATACTGTACTATGGGATGAGGCGCCGAGTGGTCGTTAACGGAGGGTATTGTTAGCCAGGTGATTTAATGTTTTTCTAATTGGCGGTGTGGTAGTTATGGTGATTATTGGTTAGGTTAGGTTTGGTTGGGTTAAATTGGGTTTGATTTGGTTTAGTTTGGTTGGATTTGGTTAGGTTAGGTTTGGTTAGATTAAGTCAGGTTAAGTGAGGTTAGGTTAGGTTTGGTCACGTTATGTTTCGTTAAGCATCCTCTAAAGTCTAAACCGATATCAAATAAATGAAATAGGTTAAACATCCACCAAACCGATAACATAATGTACCGATATCATACAGGTTATCCTCAAAATACTACTACTAAAATATGCAAATGATTATGACATTAAAAGTTCAAAAATAATAATAAGTCAATAAATAAACTGGTCTCAAAACCCAATCTTGATAATGAATCTTTTATGTAAGTTTTGTAAATGTTAAAAACTAAAGTAAATATTTTAAAATGGTGTGTGTGTGTGTGTGTGTGTGTGTGTGTGTGTGTGTGTGTGTGTGTGTGTGTTACGTCATACCATTAAACATTTACAATTAACTAGACCGTGAGAGGATATGTGACGTCAATACACATGGATTTTTTTTTTTTTATCAATTACGTAGATCAAGTTGGTGTTTATTGATGACTATATTCAGTCTGTCTGTCTGCCTGTCTGTCTGTCCCTGTCTGTCTGCCCTGTCTGTCTTGTCTGCCTGCCTTGTCTGTCTGTCTCGTCTTGTCTGCCTGCCTTGTCTGTCTGCCTGTCTGCCCTGTCTGTCTTGTCTGCCTGTCTTGTCTGCCTTGTCAGTCTGTCTGCCCTACCTGTCTTGTCTGCCTGCCTTGTCTGCCCTGTCTGCCCTGTCTGCCTTGCCTGTGGTTCACTTGGCGCTGTGAGTCATAGTGTTACAAGTAGCTAATTTTTTTTTTAATTCCGGGTTATGTTTCTTCTTTTTATTATCGTGTGAGGGATTTAATTTGATTTTTTGTGGAGATAAATCCCCTCAATTCTCCCTTAATCCCTTTCAATCTCTTTAACCCCCATCAATTCTCCCTTAATCCACCAATCCCTCTTAATCCCCCTCAATTATCCCTAAATATCCCCCTTAATCCCCCTCAATTCTTCCTTAACCCCCCTTAATCCCCTAATCCCTCTTAATCCCCATCAATTCTTCCTTAATCCCCCTTAATTCACCAATCCCTCTTAATTCCCTTCAATTATCCCTAAATCTCCCCCTTAATCCCTTTTAATCCCCCTCAATTCTTCCTTAATCTCCCTTTAATCCCCTTATCCCCTTAATCACCCTCAAATCTCCCCTAATCCCCCCAAAAAAAATCCCAGGTGAATATTAATTAGACACCAAGGTAGAGAGACGTCATCACCTGCGTCAGTAAACAAAGAGGTAATATTATTTTATCTCACTAAACTCTTGTAAAAATGTCTTCCAATATTTTTTTCCACCATCATCCTCTTCTGGGGGGGGAAAA